CCAATTTATCCCTCTTCTTTCCAATGACATAATTTTTCATTTTGGGAGATAGAGTTGTATCTATCTACCTACCTGACTCCTTCAATCTATCTATCTACCTGACTCCTTCAAGGTCCCTCATCCAGGCTTTGTTGGTTCTCCAGATGTGTGAGACCTGAATTTCCAGCCAGCATGTCATAGAATTTAATTCTTGTGTATCTTAATTTCTTGTGGTCCCACCAGGGCCCCTTCAGTGTTTTGCAGTGGGAGGTCTTCTCATGAGATGAAGGAAATCATTAGAACTTATCCTTAGAGTTATCTCCGAAATGATACTTTGTAAACTGATCTATTTCATCTTGAGGACAGGACTGTTTTATTGAGTAGGCATTTAATGGCTAAATAAATTAAGGTTGTTTTACAGATGTATATGTGTACACACACACACACACACACAACAAGTTTTTAGCATTGTATGTATAAACATGCCCAATCACTAAGAATGAAGTCCAAAACATGAATACATTTGGGTGTACCTATAAAAAAACTAGGAATTTCTACCAGATCTGGGCAATGATCATACAGTGACTCTAAATAATTGGATTCAGGATTGAATCAAGCCTATTGAAATAAATGCAGAAGATTGTGCAAGAAAAAGAATGGAATTGTGACAGAGTCTCATCTGCTGAGCATCCAGTTGATTGTGCTTTCATTTTCAGGAGGTGGGTCAGCCTTCTGTTCAGCTGAATTTATCTGGTTAATTAAGGTAGAATTAGAAACAAAAGTGAGCATGAATAGCAGCTTCAGAGAACTATAATGCGGAACCAAATATTTGCCTTAACTTTAGGAAGAAACCCTGCTGATTCTACCCTGCAGCCTTTCTGCTCTGCTGACCATTTCTTGTACTTGGGTGTTGTCACAGCTGCACAGTTTGCTGATGCAGAGTTATTCTGCTGCTTTTTCTGCTAGGCATGTGATCTTTTCCACACTGTCTTCCTTTGACCCAACTTGAACTGAAGCATCCCAAATTGAGAATTTAAGCATCTCAAACTGAGACCGGATCTCACAAAAGATTTCAGAAGGCATGTTTGTACCATTGTGAACTGGACAGGGACGTAATTTTGTTCATGCATGTCAGTGGATTGAGCTGTAGCACAGTACAAAGGTTAATTGCAATTTTATTGTTAAACCCATGTTCCTGTCCCTGGTAGAGAAATATCACAAAGCAACACAGTATTTGATATAAAAGTAAAAAAAACAACAACCCAAGAGAAATATCTCTCATTCACAGATGGAAGGAAGAACCTGCTTGTCACCTAACATGTGTGCGTTGGTGCGTATGTACACGCACGTACCCCACATACAAGCAAACACAAATCCCAGCTATGAAAATGAGGAATGGCAACTTCTTCAAATCCTGTAGCAATGCACACCATGGACTGTAGTTCAGTGCAAGCTGACATGGGGGTTCACAGGTTTGGTTTTGAGGGGAAATATGCGGAACCGTGTAATTGATACAACCAGTTGGGCAGGTTTCAATATGTATCGTCTTGGAAACATCCCACAGTCTTGCTTTTGGTGTCACAACAGTACAGGTGAGAGCATGAGAACAATAGAGGTTAGGAATGTTCATGCTGTGTTCAAATATAATGGGTTCAAAGAGCATCTCGGAACATTGCAGCCATATCGCTCGCACAAGATAGAAGTGCCTCAGCGGTGTGAAAACCTCCATATTTGTTGGTGGAGGGTCATAATATATGATGCATTTCGAATGTAACTTTATGCAGAATGGTCTGAAGTAGTCCTCAACTTAGAAAAGTTCATTTAGTGACCATTTGAAGTTACCTTGGCACTGGAAGAAAGCGACATGGCCATTTTTCACACTTACAACCACTGCAGCATCCCCAAGGTCACATGATCAAAATTCAGATGCTTGGCAACTACCTCACATTTAGGATGGTTGTAGTGTCCTGGGGGGTCACATGCTCGCCTTTTGCGACTTTCTGACAAGCAAAGTCAACGGGGAACTAATTTAAGAACTGCAGTGATTCGCTTAAAAACCGTAGCAAGAAAGATCGCAAAATGGGGGCAAAATTTAGTTAACTATTTCCCTCAGCAGCAGAAATTTTGGGCTCAATTGTGGTCGCAGGTCTAGGACTACATGCACTATAAATCATGGCCAACCGTTCATCATTATAATAACGATATTCTTGCAAAAAGTCTGAAGGAGAGAGTTGGATGCTGTGCTGGAACCAAGAATTCTTAGTTTCCTGCTCAGCCGCTGAGGAGGTTTCCTGGCATCTGCCACAAATTAGATGTGTAAACAAGACTAAGCCTACCATCAAATGCCACTTTTCGATTTTATCCTCACTACTATCATCTGTTCAGTTAGCAAAACTAAAACAGCATATGCCCACTTTTCAGCACCTTGGCACCAAGCGTCCTGGCCCTCAGTGTGAGAAGGAGACTTTCTATTATTGGTACAAGAGAGGAGTCTCTTGATCTCTCCTTTATGTTTAAAAAAAAATGGGCCGAACTTCTCCCTGGGGCTTTTTGGCCCTTTTTGCCGGCAAATGGTATTGCAATGCTTCATAGAACGAATTTGACAAGGCACAACTTCCACTGAATCAACATTTTTGTGCCCTCAAAAAACAGCTTTCCTTCTACCCCTTTCTCCCGTAATGTCCTATTATTTTGGAAAGCGATACACAGTGTGCTGCAATGAACACTTGAGATGATTTTTTTGTTTTGAGCACAAACCCCAGCTGGCCAAGAACAAAGCCAATAAAGGGTCAGAGATGTGTCATTTGTGCAGGGTATAGAAGCAAAATGAGCCAATCAGCATATAGGTGGAGAAAGAGCTGTACAAATAGATCCCAACTTTTCTTACATAATCTGATTTTCAGGGCTCAGCGCACCAACAGTCAATATGACCAATCAGCTGTTCAGGAGAGAGAACAGGTGCCGATCTGGCATTCCTACAATCCAGCTTTTCTAACTCAGAGTTTATTTCAAGTGGCATTGAGACTTTATAAAAAACATTCATTTAATAAAATAAGGGGAGGAATCTTGCTTTCTCTCCAGCTTTATCAGCCACTCTGGATCTACTGCAGGCTAGCTGACATAATTTAGCATGCCCCTGACTTCCAGGGATTGGTCTATATTGGGAAGTACCAACCCAATATTCAGAATTAAGATTTGAAGTCATCCCAGGACAGGTACTCATTCTGACATGGTCTGTTCATATTCTTGGGCATTCTCAGTCCTTATTCAAGCTTTAGATAAATCTTGCTTACTTCCATATGTAAATCTGGATGGTGCCATGCTGAGTTGTCTCATCCTAAGCATCACACTCACAAGAGGGATCTTTTCTGGACATCCAATAGATGACATGTATTGACACCCTCGTGGCCAGTAGGTATGGTCTTACTTTCTCATATATTAATACAGTCTGGTTTATTTTATTTGTATTATATCCCATCTTTCATTCAGCAGCTTGAAGTGGTATACATGGCGCTCCTTCTTATTATGCACCACAGCAGCTACCGTAAATGCCAGCGTATAAGGTGACTTCCGTGAGCGCTGAAATCGGCGCCAAAGACGGGGGTCGTCTTATACGCCGAGTCATCTTATACGCCAGAAATACTGGTAGTTTCCGGCGTATAAGACGATGTTCTAGGAATGCGGCCCAGCTATAAAGACGGGGGTCGTCTTATACGCCGGGTCGCCTTGTACGCCGGCATTTACGGTACTTTGTGAGGTAGACTGGCCTGAGAGAGAATTCCCAGCCCAAACTCACCCAGGGAACTTCCCTGGCTAAGGAGGGACCTGAACTTGGATCTCTCTGCTCCCAATGCAACATCTTAATTGCTAATACGTCTTAAGTGAAAACAGGAGAGGTAAACTGGACTCTAGTGTCATTCAGTTCTTGAGGCCTTTCTTAGTTGGAGACTAGAGGACAGGAAGGCCTGGAGGAACGTTGTCCATCGGGTCGCAATGGGTTGGACATGACTTCGCAACTAACAACAACAACAACAAATAAACTCAAGCTTCTCATTGTGTCTCAGAGTAAACTTTCTAAAAGGCTGTTCTGTGATATAGACACCAGTGTCTACCAAATAACTGTAGCAATATTAGGGCATTTATCAGTTGATATTAGTCTTGGTAGCTTTATGCCTTAAGTCAAAGGCAGAATGACTTAATGCTAATTGCTAGAGAACAGTACAGTGGTTGAAAAGGGCATTTGCCCTCCTGTCCTTCCAGAATGGATCTAGTTGTCCACTCTGTGACAGAATATTGGCTCTTTTTATGTTCTCAGACAGTCCAGTGAGTATGGCTTGGAGAGCATGCAGTTGAAAACAGAGAGAAGACAAAGTGTATTGCAAGTGGATCAGAGCTTGCTTTCCTGAACAGAAGGCGTGTAAGCACCAACTTACTTAGGGGCACCAAGGACTGATTCTGTGGAGAGAGGTTTTTCTGTGAGGGTGTGTGGTTTTGTGTGCTGCCTGCATCACACAGATGGAGCTTTGCTTGTTTGTGAGGCCCTGTTGCTGGCATGCTGCGGCCTGGTACTGGTCCACGGACTGAGGGTTGGGGACCCCTGACTTAGAAGACAAGAAAGTGGAAATGTGACGGATTATAATCTACAGGGGGTTAAGGTGGCTAACTGAGCAATATTATTATTTTACTGTTTCAAAGCATCGTTTGTGGAGTCCTTGATCTCTCTCTGCTCAGGCTATTGTCTTGCAAGTATTTCATTTCCCACCCTTCAGTGCTAGAAGGAAATGGGGTTTGTTCTCTGTTCGTACACATTGGCTTGCCCTGTCCACAGTAAAATAGCTATGCTATTATATTACCCAACTAGGTTTCATTCCTTTCTAACACTGATTATGTTACCTAGTTGGGTAATGAAACGTCTGCAAGAAAACAACCAAGCTCAGAGAGCACCAAGGACTCCGCTGTTCAACCCCTAGTGTCAAATACTTTCTTCTACTGATAAAGCGTCATTTCTTTGGTTTCTTCAGGTCAGATCTTGCCTACAAACCGAAACACGCCAAGTCCCATTGATCCCGACAGCATTCAGGTTCCAATTGGGTATGAACCAGACCCTGCCGATCTTGCTCTTTCTAGCATTCCTGGTCAGGAAATGTTTGACCCTCGCAAGCGCAAGTTCTCTGAGGAGGAGCTCAAGCCCCAGCCGATGATTAAGAAAGCTCGCAAAGTCTTCATTCCCGAAGATCTGAAGGTAACTTGGGACTGGTGTCTAGGGCGATGCCGAGGTCCAGGCTCAAAGGGGAAAAGGTAAATTGGAGGATGCACAGGTAGATAGATTATACCAGGGGTAGTCAACCTTGGCTCTTTTATGACTCGTGGACTTCAACTCCCAGAATTCCTGAGCCAGCTAAGGCTCATAAAAGAGCCAAGGTTGACTACCCCTGGGTTACACCCATTGACAACTTCTTAAAAAAAACAGTGTCTTTTTCTGGCCTCTGCCACGGTTTGATAAAGACAGGAAGGACAGCAATTTGATGTGGTACAATGACATTTGGCAGGAATAAAGGAACATTGTATTATGAGAGCAAGTGAAGGAGAGCTCTCCAACCAAATCTCCACGAGTGGATTCAGCTGGAGTTGGCAATCCTAGATTCTTAACCTAAGACAAGTAGAATGTCAGGGTTCCGACTAATGAAGGACTTCAAAGAACTTTCAGGCATGTTTCCTAAAGTCTTTATTACAGAGCTACAAATTGCCGGTCTCCATCATGGACGTTTTGATGCCAGAATCTGACTTCCTCTTGCTGGCATCAAACTTTTCTTGCTAAACCTCTCCCTTATCTTGCAGTCACAAGTCACATTATCCAATTAGTGTGAAGGTCAAAAGTTTACTTCCTCTTTCTCCCCCCCCCCCCGCTTTTTACCCCCCCCCACTCTAAGCTATGTATTAACCCAGTAAATACCAGACACTTTTGAATATTGTCAAAGCAAGAATATACAGTATTTGCAGCATTGACATAGAAATTGCAGAGGGTTTCTTTCTTTTTTTTGCTGCATTCATTTTAATTTTTGTACCCTTCCTATTGGTGAACAAGGTGGGATCACCTTAAATTCAGGATGGTCTTCCTTTCAGGGAAATGTAGTCTGCTTCTTCCCTGAAATCAGATGTTGTCCAATGAGGCTAATTCCAACAGCATAGATCTTGGATTGAAATTCTCGATTCCCTTCTGAGTTCAGAATGCTGGACACAACGCTGTACCAATTATAAATAGGATAACCATGAAGAACTGCAGATGCAATAAATCTTGCTTCTAAATCCTGAGCTTCTAATATGAACAGGATGGCAAAGATTGTTCAGAAAGATTTGTGACAGAGCTTAAAAAAAAAAAGCCAATTTAGGCAGGGTTGGGTGCTAATCCCCTTGAGCAAGTTGTTATTCCAGCATGTATTATCTCAATTATTTTAAAAGAGTCACCAGGATTCTTTAAAAAAAAAAAAGCCAATCTTGTTTGCTATATAATTCTGTGGTCTTGGAAAAGTTAAGAAACTCTCTGCATACATTTTTGTGTTCATTTGAGACACATACAGTAAACCTGTGAGCAGAATAACAAAGGGGAGGAGGTTTTTTTTTTTTAAAGACATTAAATATAGAGAAGTCTTAGTAAAGTTGCTGATGATCTTTGTGAACTGGATTAACAGGCAATCACTTCCTGGAGTTTGCTCTGCTTTGTCTTGTTCCCATTCCTAGCAAAATGCTTGACCAAAGTTTGTGTTTCCTGGTGTCGATTGGTGGCAGAATTTGGGTACAGAAGCAAGCACAAATTAGATCCACTGATAGTCTTTGGGCTATGTATGATTTCAAGTGTTTGCTGTCCTTTCAGACTGGGATTAAAGGTTTAGATTTTGTAATTTTTTTTAAATACAAGAGATGTGCATGGCCTTGGTAATTCAAGAATGAATTGAATTGAAAGTTGCTTTTTTTTTCCTGGAGAGGAATCAGATGGGAAGTAAGCACTGCAGAAATATATGAGCCAATTTCCCATCCTTCTTAGAAAGAGAGATATTCGTTAGCCAATCTTAAATTATTTAATTTTGCAGACAGTCTATTGCAGGGGTGGCGAACCTGTGGCACGCGTGCCAGAGGCGGCACTCAGAGCTCTCTCTGTGGGCACATGTGCCATTGCCCCAGCCTCATCTCCCCCCCATGACCCTCTCCTCATCAGCAGCCGCCTGGAGGAGAGTCACCCCCGAGCCTGGCCCACACGGAGCAACGCAGCCAAGGACATGGCAGCCAGGCAGCGTACAGAAGACTCTGCCCTCACGTCCCATCGTGCACAGTTGATGCTGCAGGGCGCAGGCAGGGGGTGTGGCCACCATGGTGCTGCTGGGCTGCCTGGGCGATTTGCAGTGGGCCCTGGTGGCGGTGAATGGCTCTGCAGGCAGGCGGGGTGGGGGATGGGGTGGAGCGGAGCGGGGGGGAGTGGGGGCGGGGCCAGTTTTTGGGCACTCGGTCTCTAAAAGGTTCGCCATCACTGGTCTATTGGCTTGGCTATTGATTCTGTTCAATAGGGATACCCCAGACAATTGATGGACCCTCTTTCAGGTGACCAGGTCCTTTCTGGGTAACATTGGGTCAGGGGATCCTCTGTGGGGTTGCTGTGAGAAATATTCTCAGCATCTGTCAAAGTTGCTTGGCATCGCTTGGAATTGGATTCCTGCTGAACAGGTCCTATGGAAGTACCTGAGGTTGATCTGAGCTCAGTTTTCTGGAAAAGGTTTGAACTGATAGATTCAGAAAAAGTGGACAGGTCCTTGCAGCTATGAGTTTGACCCCTATGTTCTGAGCTTATACCTTTCCTAGCTGGTTACAGTTTTCTAGGTGGTAGCATGTGGATGGGTCCTCATAGTGGGAGAGGTAGTGCCCACTTGACTTGAAACATGTGGTGGTGTGCCTTCTTCTCAAGACCCTCCTGAGATCCAACTTTGTTTTAAGTACTCAGCTTAGTGGGCCTTGGATAAAGTGGATTATCTGTACCTTTCTCGGGCTAGATTACAGTACCAAGATGACATTGGCTTTGCTTGTGGGTGACATCTGGAGAGCTGGGGATGGGTTAGTGCAACCTTTTTGGCCCACATGGATCCCTCAACAGCTTTTGATAGCATTGACCACCTTTGGGGCTTGAGAGCAGGGACAGTTTGTTTCTGCTGGAGAGGAGAGGGAAGGGGTCCAACCCTAGGCCTCTCTTGTGTGGGAGTACCTCAGAATTCAGGACTATCACTGCTTCACTTCAGCATCTAATGAAACTGCTGGGCAAATTCATTTAGCAGCATGATTTATACACCTCCATCCATGGCCAAGCAGGCAACGCCATTCAGCAGCCTGGAGGCTCTGAGGGTCAGGATAGAGAAGAACCAGCTCAGACTCAGTCCTGGCCAGAGAGAGAGTAGCTTTGGGGTTTTCATATCCTGGAAGTGTCATATTTTACTCTTGATGGTAGCTTTCTCCAGATGTAGCTAATGCACAATTTGGGATCATGATGGACTTACAGCTTATGCTGTCACTGTGCCACAATGCACTTTACATGGGGCTGCCCTTGAAGACCATCCAGTAATTACAACTGGTCCAGGATGCAGTGGCATGCAGAGTTTTGGGGGTTCTATTGTGTTGCCCATATTACAACATTGCTTTGCAAGATGTTTCCAGTTTCTTTCAGGGTGCAATTCAAGATTCTATTTATCCCTTCTGTCCCTTTGATTGCAAGGAGATCCAAATCAATTAATCCTATGGGAAGTCCACCCTGACTAATCTTTGGTCGGGTTGAGCTGAAACTCAAATACTTTGGCCCCCAAATGAGAAGAGAGGGCTCATTGGAAAAGACCCAGCTGTTGGGAAAGATTGAAGGCAAAAGGAGAAGGGGATGGCAGACAATGTGATGGTTAGATAGTGTCATTGACACAGTGGCCGTGAATTTGGGCAAACTCTGGGAGACAGTGGAGGACAAGAGGACCTGGCGTGCTGTGGTCCATGGCGTCATGAAGAGTCAAACACAACTTAGCAACCAAACATCATCAGCAAAACGTTGTCAACCTTAAAGGCTGTGTGGCAGGTTATCTCTATGACCAGCTGTCCCTGAGGGCATCTGTTCACTTCCAGCAGATTGGACGGGGTTGATGTGTTCTAGGCCTCTTCTCCCTGGGGCTGTCTTCTAGCTGGACCAAGGGAACACTCAGGCTTTCCTCAGGGGCAACCCTTGTCCTGTAGAAGACCCTCCCTCTAAGATGCCCACCCTTCTAGCCTTCCAGAAAGTTTTAAAAGACTGGCCCTTCTCTCAAGTGGGGTGAAGCTTGAATCTAAGGATTGCAGGGTTTTGATTCATCGGAGAATGTTGGGTTGGTGCTGGGAGTTGTTTATTTAGATAGCAGCTTTATTGTTTTTATTGCTGGTGCTATAAGCCGCCCTAGATTACAGCACATAAGATGTACAGCCATATAAGTCTCTTAAATACATGAATACATTCTGATCATGCTGATGTGACTTTTCGTTGTCAGTTCAATATCATTCCCAGCATTTGGAAAAAATGTGTATGAGAAATACAGAAGAAAGTCTTTCTCCTCCTTATCACTGTTAGAGCAGTAGTGCAGAGAAAAGCTATGAAGTGCAGGGGTCATTATGCTAGCTCCAGTTGATTCCTAATCATTTCCATCTGATTTACATATTTATATCCCACTTTATTAATTTTTCCTGCTCGTAGGATATCTTCTGAGTCAGGTTTTCAGAAAGGTCCTACTCATAAGACCTAGTGCTTTGCTAAAAACCTGATTTAAAAGATATCGACAGCCAAGATATGATCCATTGACAATTAGGTTTATGGAGCAGAAATGTGATCCTTTTGGTCAGTTGCCTGGAAGTGAGCTCCAGTGAATTTATTGACATGTACTTTTGATTGCTAAGTAAGATTTAAGTAAGGGTCAGATCTTTAAAAGCACCCTACTTGAACAATTAAAAAAAACAAGAAATCTATGATGAGGCAATTAGAAAAGAAGCTTTACTGATGTGGTTATTATTTGCAGAAACATGAGAAAAATGTCTATATTTAATTGCCATTTATTCAAATAATAAGAACTGTATTAATTTAAGGTTGGCAAAAGAGAATATTATTGGAAGGAGAGAAAATCAAGCAAATGGACTATAGAATTATAGTAATTAATTGTTATTGATTGTTTTTTAAATACTAACCCAGACAACATACTATTTACCAAATATTAAGGTGATTATGTTAAAAATCAATAAAACATTTTTTTTAAAAAAAACAAGAAATATCTTTAGCTAGTTAAGATGCAAATC